ACACTCAAGCAGCAGAGTTAAAAAAAAATCTGATACTGAGATTTAAGAGTCCTTAATATAATTTGACTTTCATGAATAGTATATGCAGAACAAATTAGAAATATTATTTCTATTGTAAACAGAGTTTGAAGAGTATTTCACATAAAGATACAGTATTATATATTGCTACAGACAGTTATTAAACTCAACATTTTACAATACTAGCAAAGTCAGTTTACATTGGTGACTATATTTATGTTGATCCTAACATGATTTGCAGTACATTACCCTTTTTGTAAAGCATTTACTGTTTATAAGTCTTTTGTCAAAAGTGAAACCTGTCAGTTCATGTCTTGCTAGAACCAAATATTCTTAATTGGAGACAGAAAAGCACCCGTTTCCAGACTTACTTTAACTCTGTTCTACTAATTTGCCTTTTATTTTATATTATTATTTTATTAAATTTAGCATACTCATGTTCTTTTTATGAGAGATTGAGTGCTTGTTGGCTTCAAATGCTCTCGACCTCCTGGGCTAGACCAATAATCTAAGAAAAACTTGTTCTTGTCTACTTGTTATGACTGAAAATAAACCAGACTTCCCAGATAGCAAACAAAACTTTTTCGTAAGATGGATTCCCCCTCTCCCCAAGCGAATACTTGCTGTGTCCAACACTGCGTTTGCTATAGGCAATTCCAAAGTCCCTCAGCAGAAGGCACGCAAGGGGTGCAGCACCATTTCCAGTATTACAGCCCTTCCTTATGCCAAAGGCTGCAGTTAATGAAACTGCACTGAAGTTCTCAGTTCAGACTTTTTGAAGCTCAAAATTTCATTAAAATAATCTTTTTTGAATAAAGTGTTCTGCATTTGCTATTCAAGCACAAACTGAAGCCTTCTAAGTCCGAGAGGAAGGAAACCTGAAGCTTTAGTGGAAGGGCAGACAAGGATGAAGACTTTTTGGAGTAGAAAGGGGGGTGTGTGGAGATTTAAGGTTCCCCTTAACTCATTTCAGAAGCAATGAGCTTTATACGGAGGAAGTCTGCAAGATGCTACGTGCCACCACAGACTAGCTTCCCAGTCAATTCATGAAAGAATCCATAGTGCTTAAAATGACTGGAAATTACCTGGACTTTTCAATTTGGTGGTTTTAACTCTTCTCAGAATCAAGTTGCACTGTTTATGGGAGACCATAAATACAATTTCGACACCAGGCCTGGACTTCAAAGGCTACTTCACTAGTTAAGACCTCATCGGGTTATAAAATTTTGGACTTACAGGGTGAATTAGAATTAAACCCAGTAGAGATAAAGTATGATTTCTACTGTTACCTCTGCAATTTCACATATCAAAAGTTTAACATTCTTACAGGGCTTTTAGCATGGTAGCTTGCCCTACAAATTAAGCCCAACAAGAATCATATGCTTCTTATTTTGCAGCTCAGCTGTGTAACCTCAGTATTGCAGCGATGCAAGTATTTGCACTGGAAGCTTCTGGAAGAAGCCAAGTGATTCTGAATTAGCATTGACGTGTCTAACGCTGCCTACACACACAGCAGAGGCAGACAATGAGAACTGCCCCCAGGCAAGTTTCTGTGTGAGCGATTTCACAGCCCCAGTCAGGCCTTGGTTTATAAAGGTCCCTAAAGTTCTTCTCTGTCCCCATCTGTAACCGAGCTAGCAGGTCTACAGACACAATTACAGTTAAAGCAAGCTTCTAACTCTCCCACTAAAAGAAATATTCTGGAATTAGGGCAAACATGGCCTCTTGTAAACAAACATGGTTTTAATTCACTGCTGAGTAATACTGCAAGTAGTAACAGAAGCAGAAAATGCAGAATAAGACAGAACAAGCATTCTTTAATAGAGTGGCATCTAGCCTTTGTGGGAGGAAGTAACCAGACCTCTGGTAGCAATTACCATTTTCTACTGCATAAGCTTTATTTTTATTATGACCCTGCTGTTGCTAAGATAGTGCTCTCAAATTACCTTACATATATACTGTATTAAAGAACAACAGGTCTGCCCAGTTTACAGGGCCAGATGGTTCTCCAAAGTTTAATGTATCATTGGATTTATATTTTTTTAAAAAAAAATTCACATTGCTCAACCAAGCCAGTAAATAACTTCTCTAGTCTCAGGATAGGTGATATGTGGATAAAAAAAAGTTTATTTCCATTCCTGTTTGCAACTGATGTCTTGGATGTCTGAGCAAAACTGTTCTTTGAATTGTAGTGAGCACTGTTGAACACTGACAGGCCCTTGCTGTGCCCAAAGTCAGCATCAAGGACACGTGCTGAGCAAGAGACCTTGCCCCAGCAAAAATTCGTCAGTGAGGGAAGGTGGAGTAGGAGGAGCAACAGGATTACAAGTACAAATTAGAAATGAAGCTGGCTTGGTAAAAAGGCAAAATATCCTGTATAAACAGCCAATACATTTCAACAAAAATGGGAAAGCAAAGTGTTTCAGTCTTGATACTGAGTGCTACTAGATCACATCTAGCGTGAAGATCCCGGCACCACTATTATTGAAATATTGAGCTGAATCTGAAAGAATTCACAAGACATTACAAACACCACCATTTTTAAATCAACACTTAAGATGATCAGTAGGTAAATCACAAAAGTATAGTTATGCATGTAACAATTTAAAATAATCACATCATTATTTAAACAGCAATGAGATGACACCCTTGCACAGCTTATGACCATGTCAGCCAAAGACTCCCATTTTAGAAGTTAATCTTCCAGGCAGGGAAACCTCTAACCTGTAAGAGCTTAAGGTCTTTTAAAATAGCCAATGTATTTGGTGCTTCTTGGGTCCTTTCAAAACTCAAGAAGCAGTAGTTCTTAAGAGAGTAATCTTGAAGTTAAATTCATTCTTGGTTACAGCAAATACTTATTTTGAACACACAGAATAATTACTAGGGATATATTTTCAGAAATCTCAGACACCTAAACATTTTGAAATCTTTGAAAGTGTTAGTATAGGTTTAAAACAAAAGTTCAGAAAGAATTTTCAAAGATCATTATTAAAACCATTAATAGGAAATAGTGCTGTTATTTGAATTGGTCACTTATTCATTAGTATGATTATTTATGACAGATTATTCGTGAGGTGCCCAACATTATGGAGAAATGAATTATGGACTCTAAAAATGCTTTTAAGAATTTGTGTGTTACAATGAACCGTCCATTAAAAAAAATTAACTAGCACTAGGATTTTTCTTCAACCCTGGTTTTACACTGTACTGTTCTAAAGATTTTCCTACTTTACAATACTTTGTCATTAGTTTCCTGATTAATCAACTAGGAAGTCAAATACTCACACTGTAAATTTTGAACATTTATTTCCAGTATTTGTACAATTTCTTTGCTCAAATTTTGTGCATTCCATAATAATCTGCATAGACCATTTCCTACAAAGCAGTTCAAACTCATTTCTGGAAAACTTTGTCTCAAAGATGAATTCTTCACGGCAATGTTGAAGACAGCCTTCAGCTTTTTAATAGCATAGCATTGTTCAGTAACAATTTAAATATCTAAGAGCATTTGAGATATTCACAAACCAATTCAGAACCACCTGGTTAGCAGACAAGCACAAGCTAGTTCGGGCATTTCCACTAGTTCCAGTTTCTAATGCCACCAAGTTAAATGTAATATACTATGCCCCTTCACAGCATTGCTACAACAGTACCCAAAATACTGTTAAATTTTATTTTTTTTTTCAAGATTTTATTTTTGTGTATTGATAGTTTACAATTAGCTGGAACTTACTTGAAAACATTTCCTTGAAAAACCTGAAGGCAGCCTGAGTGATCAAAATTGTCTCTTCCTGAGCATGTTTACTGGTGATTGGTACCAGGGACACCCAAATACATTTCCAAATAGGTACTGCAAGGGAAAAATGCTGATAAACTAATGTACATTAGAATTGTAGCTAAATGCCTATACATTCTATATTAATTCCAGTTTTGATGTTGGGGATATACTTTGTTGTAAAAACAGTTTGAGATAAGATACATTTAACTTTTTTATGCACTTAATCTTTTTTAAACACTTAATCTTCAAAGCGTATTTTTACTTAGGCCTGTCAAAAATGGCATAAGAAAAACCTTTTTCTGCATGCAGCCACCTATGAGAAGTAGCATCAGTAACAAGTTCAGCAATTTGATTCAGAGAATTAAAATAACTGAATTAGTACCTTCACTGCAAGATGCAAGTCCTCAGAAAAGGCAGCTTCAAAAGACCTGGAAGAAAGCAGTTAGCTTCCAACCCTAACTGAAACAGTTGAAGCTGTATCTCCTTCAACAAAATGGTTAGAGAGAAAGTAAATGCTTCCCAATCCTCATTAGCACCACCATCTAGTTTTTAATTCAACGTGATACTAGTAAGAAACCATCCAGGCTCTCCCCATCTCTTCTCCCTCCTCTCTCCAGCTTCATGATCATCTCCATTTTGTCATGGAAAAAGGAAAAACTGTATCAGAACAGTTCCACACTTGCGATCAACACAGATCAGATGCTTGTTTGCCTTTTCAGCAGACCAGGCGAGAAATGCTAATGTGGACTTGGTGTACTTTGCACGTCGCAGCATTAGGTACAGAAATGCAGCCTAGCTCAGAGACAAGCACTACTCAGATTAACTAGACTGGTCTAATTAATTAAGCTCACTTCACTGTGAACAGCTGTTAACATCTCACCACAATACCACCCTGTGCAACCTAGGTATAACCAGAATTAAGAAAAAAGTCAAGCTGGTTTCATGTAGTTCATTTTATTATTGCATACTAATAATACATATCGACACAGCTGATATCAGAGTAAACCCTTATGGGACAAATTAGTGCCATAATGCAAATCATGGAACAGAAGATGAGCAGAGTGTGGAAGAGCACAGCATCTGATTAAAAAAAAATGAAAAAAATCAATGCTGTGAGAACTCATGGTATTAGACTTCACTTAAGACAAAAAAGACAAAAATCTTAGGAAAGGCCTAAGTTCCCAAGGAGAGGCCACAAGTTTCCAAAACACAGGAAAAGCCATGTGCATCCCCGCTAGTGAATCCAACGGGACTTAAGTCCATGAAGACTTTTTGCAAATTCAGTGTTTAAATCTTCTACATATTTCATATTCTTCTTTACTGTAAGAGAATGGTTGGCTGATCTATTCTACACACGTATTGTTTCACTCTTTTGGGGCAAATTACAATCACAATTTCCTCTAGCTTTAAACAGCTATTTCAACCAATATATATACATATATGTGTAAACAAAATGCCTAAGTAAGGGCTTAAAGCAATTTCATAGAAGTATCCCAATTCAGCTATTTGTGCTCTTTACTTCAAAATCCAAAGTGCCAAATACAAGCAGCAGGTTTCCACTATTGCAGTCTAAAATAATGATCCCATTTACTTGTGTGAATTTATAGAAATCATTTAAAGCCACAATTCCAATTCATTCAAAAGGTCTGAGAACAGGAATTAATACGTTTACAGTAACTGCACAGCTTGCATGGCCAAAAAAGTGTCTCAAAACTAATTTTTAAACTGTTGTTAACAAGTAAAGGAATGTGCACATGTTGACAATAAGGTGTAACTCAAAAATACACAACTACTGCACTGATCCAGATTTGTTAATACATAATCATATCTGAAAATATACAAAATCTGAAGGTATTACATGAAATTAAAACCTGGTTTTAAAAAGTGCACAGTAAAAACTGAAGGTAATTACTATATAAATTATCCACAGAGTGTGTATTTCCCAGTTTAGCGCCAACATTAAGTTCTGTCTGTTACAAGGTCTAAATATTTTAAAACCATTTACAGCATCAAATCAGTTTTTACTAGACCAAATACCACCCTCTGCTTCCTGGAACAAACAGGAACTGGACAATGAACTCTCACTATCTGCATCCTGTGCAGCAGCAGCTTCCGAAGACAGTTGATTAGCTGTCAGCTATCGATTTTTGTTCTTTTTAGAATTCCCCTGCAACAAGAAAAAAGTGAAGAGAACATATAATTCAGATAAGAAAATCTAGACAGATAACATCTAAAACTTGACGTCTGATAATTTATGCCTACAGCAAACAAAGAAACACAGTCAAACTGAAAATAAACAGTCCACAGGCTTTTAATAATGGAAGTTTATAACTGCTTGCTCTGAAAATCCCTCTTATCTTTACAGGCATAACAGAGAAAAGTCCTAGATATTTCAAATAAGCACAACTTCAGTTGAAACCTGTGGAAAAGAGACATTTGAGTCATGTCTCAAGACACTCAATTTATTAACACCACTAATACTGTAAGGGCAGTGAAGGCAAGTCAAACCATAATTCACCCTTAAGTGATATTTCAAATATAAACCTTATAGGATAATTGCCTCAAATTAAAATCAACCCCCCACCCAATCATTTTGTTCCAAAACAAATTTAACTTTAACTTGGTCTATACAGAATATTCCTACTTTAGAAAAGAATTTGTTCTACAGCTAATCAACTCACATTTGTCTTGCAACAATTCCATAAAGCAAACACATAGCTTAAAATAAACTTTTGTGCAATAGTTACTTGCTGGCAATTCTCCATCTTTCTATTTCCTTATGATAACATTTGTTTTTAATCTAACCAGCAGCTCTCCAAATAACAATGGCTTTAACTGCATCATTTTGATTTCAACCAAATCGCCTTCTACATTTGGTAACATCTGAAAATCCATGTCTACTGTTGTTAGATTCTGAACTACGTCCTTACAGACAGCATACCACTTCAAGTCTTAAAAGTATGACAAGTGAAAAATTCCAGAAAACATTTATAAAAACATGAAGTGCTATGGTCAGTATGTAGCCAAGAGCTTCCCTCAAAAAACACAAGAGCTTATACACCAAAAAGTAATTTTAAAGATTACAATGCCAAGTCAAAACACTCAGATATATCTAAAGAAAACCAGTTCTATATATGGGGGAAATAGTTTACTCTAGAAAAGAAAAATTGCCATCATGGGACCTTTAACCAAAACATTGATTTTTTTTTTTTTCTAACCCTTCAGTAAAACCTGCTTCCATGCATTCCACAATTAAGGGGAATAATGCTAATTTTTCAGTTCCACAGCCAGACAAGTGAAGGGTAAAGGCCTTCACAACATCTGTTCCTCTCTAGAACCGTCAGAATAAGATATACCATGGTTTAATCACTGACTGCTCAAAACAGCAGATTTCTCTATTTTTTCATGATTAACATTAAGGTAAGTCAAAAACTTGTTTCTGATAAATGGATAGATTTCTTGCTTGGAAAAGAATTTAAGCGTGCATTTTAAGTTCACAGAAGAATGTAAGTGGCAACTTTTTCATTCCTACATATGAGACACAGACAAGCTAGAACATGGAAATAGAACAGAGAAAAAGAATAGCTGCCAAGTACAGAGTATGCTGCAACGGGGCGAGAAGTGCAGAAAGGATACTCCTACCAGTAAGTTAATCATCAACACCCGGTATCACCAGCTGGATTTGCAAATAGTTCCATTTTCACCACATAAAAAAAAGTGCTGATCTTCCATCAGTGGGTACACTTTGAAAGCCTACTTTGAAGCAGTGACATGAAGTGTTTGTTCAAATTTCCCATCTGTATGTTTTGCAAGAACTTTTTCTTCACTGAAACATGCAGGACCAGGCTTGGAGGTTTTTTTGCAGTTGGCTGAGAATAAGAACTATAGCTTGTGAACTGGTTTGTTAAAGGGTAGTACTGCAGGAATGTCAAATGCAACCCACAGACCTCCAAACTGCAGCCAATGCCTAATGTCAACACCTGGCAACTTACCTTACTGGTCATCTTTAGTGTATCGATTTCTTCCCTTTGTTTAGTTAAGGTTTCATTCATACTGCACAGATGGTCACTCATCATACTTAACTGATCCTCATAACTTCTCTTTGTTGTCATCAATTCATCCTAAGCGGAAAGAAAAATAACCAGAAGCCTTTACTCAATATTAGTGACAACTGGCAAAGCAGCCAACTTGTATCTCCACTTAGTTAGATACACTTTTGATGCTCAATGTGTGCAATTAGGCTAAACCATTGAAAAAAAATAAATCACTCTATGAAAGAGTCAATAGCTATTTTTTTTACCTGAAGTCTTATGCATGGTCTGTTTCCCTTATTTTTGCTGTGTTTCCTTTACAATTTTTTTGCCCATTTTTTATGGTTTATATAAAAGACTAACAGCTAAGTTTTCCAACATTGCTTCCAGCCAAGAAAAAAGTAAAAGCTTATAGGGTTAGAGCATGGCCTGTACATGAACATACGTGGCATACAAAGCCTAAGGAATCAGCAATCTACATGCAGAGCTATGATCTCTCTGGGATCAGAGAGAGACGGTGGGATAGCGTGCATGACTGGAACATGGCAACGAAGGGATACACTTTAGTAAGGACAGGATAGAAGGGGAGAAGTCCTGCTTTATGTGAAGGAGTGGTTTGAAGACAATTAAGATCTCATAGTTAGGGATCAGAGGAGAACAACAAGGGTGATAAGGCAGGCATCTCCTACAAGCAGATAAAAATCTCTCAACCCCAGAGCCTGATCCTCGTGAGGGATTTTAACCACTCTGACATCTCCCACAAGGGCAACAAGGTGGAACGCAAGCAATTCAGGAGTTCTCTTGAGTGTGGTAAAGGACTTTGTGATACCAGTGATTAACAGGCCTAAGAGGTGCTCTCTGCTGGACCTGTTACTCACAAACAAGGAAAAGTTGGTCAGGGATGTGAAAGCCAGTGGGAGACTTGGCTGCAGCAACTATGACTTAGTGGAATTTAAGATCCTGAAGGAAGCAAGCAAGACGAATAGTAGAATTACAGCAACCCTAGATTTAAAAAGAGTAGATTTTAGCTTTTTCAAGGTCTGCTTGGCAAGATCCCCCTAAAACTGCCCAGGAAAGCTGAATGATCAAGGACAGAGCAAAGAACGGTCCAGGGCTTAGGAAGTGGGGCAACTGTGGCAGGAGGCCAGCATCGCTGTACAGGAAACTGCCCATTCAACAGCTTGATCCGAACTCTCTGCTCTGACCAAAGGAGGGGATCAGATTACCTTCTGAGGACCCTTCCAACCTGAACAATTCTATGATTCAATATTATGCAGACTACTAAACATACAAATGGTGTGCCTGCTATCTCTTCTTAGGGAGTTTAATATGTAATTGGAGATTAACATCTCGTGCTGAGTTGGGTATTGATTGTGGAATTTGTTAAAGGAACAAATCAAAAGAACACTTTGTATGTATGAACAATTCTTTTAAGTGTGTATCATTATATTCACTGCCTGTATGGAGCATTTTAAGTACTACATCTCAGACAGGTGAGCAATAAAGATATGAATTAAATATAAAGAAAACATGAAGGCATTTATGAACTGCACATTTATATGTACTTTCTGTTACTACTGGCTCCTTTCTCAGCTGTGTGGAGGGGAAGACAAAAGGATAGGACATTCATAGGATGTCTAGCACTAAGAGTTTATTAGCTACTGCTAACAACAGTTTCTTAATGACTACCCCAAAGATATTTTTGCTTAATATTAAGCTATCCATCTCAAAACCACCCTGGCATTTCCAAGACTTTCAGTCTGAGATGCTAGAAAGGATTCAGTGTATCACATGAAATCAGTCACAACCACACCTTTGGACATAAAAAACACACACACACTTTCATAAAAAGCCTTGACATCAAATGTGCTAAAACACAGGCTTGGCTACTATAACCTCTCCCTTGCAAGCATGTTCCACTTCAACTTTATACATGGGATTTGAAGTGTATTATTTGTGTCTCTTCTCTACATACCATTAGAGTTTTTACATCACATAACTAAGGACCTAGTAAAGGCATGACCATGCTCGATGGTTGTAATTTTTCTCCTCCAACTTCCCCTTACACATGATTACAAAATGCATCTATTATATAACATTTTACTTGCCTGTAATCTACTGATGTTTTGACTAGCTAGTTTCAACCCTTCCGTGATTGATTCCTTGGACTTGTCTGCTAAAGACAGTCTTTTGGCAAGTGCTCGACACTGTCAATCAGAACAGGACAGGGAGGGTAGAAGAGAGGAAAGTTAGTTCCAGAGTATTACCTTGTGCCACCTTTAACTGATTGCTTCGGATGTTTCCATCTTTCTGTAATCCTTAGATTTCAAGAAACTTAGAGCTTATGCATATTTGTAAGTGCAAAGGCAATGTAATAGTTATAATGTTATATAATGTTAACATTAAATTTTTGTTTCCTTTTATAGAATTACCATATTGTCAATCCTCCAAATACCGTATTTTTCACATAGTTACTAGGAAATATTTCATAAGTAAGAAGCAACACAAACTCCTCACCTCATACACTGCTCAAGTATCAGAGAAAGATGTTCCTCCACACTGTCATCTACCATTAAAAAAAATATTTAAGAGGATTTGCTCTGTCAACCTGGAGCTTTGGTATATTCCACATCAGTTAATTACACAAATCAAAATGGCCACTACTTTCAAGAAAAATTACCTCATGATTTGAAATGAAAACAGGAAAACATAGATACAATGAATCATTTTATTAATTCCTGAACTTAAGTATAACTTTTGCCTAAGAACCAATTTCTCAGAGAGCTGTTTTCATCACTTCATGATACACTCAAATATTTTTGAGTGACATCAGCATCACTTTAATCTTAAAGTCAAAACTCCCTTGGTAACCAAAGCCAGCTGCTTCAGCTTGTATGAACAAACCTATACATGACACACATTATACTTCTTGATATACCCAAGACAAGGCTACCAAAGGATTTACTTTAAAAAAAAGTCTTTCTACAGTATCTATTTTTATGCATACTAGACCACAGCCAAAAAACATATTCCAGGAACAGATTTTTATGAAACATTATGTTCCCACATTTAAACTCACTGTCATAACACTTGCCTGTGGAAAGTTCAAAGAGGGATTTACTGTTTTCAGTATAGACACTGCCTGCATGCTCACCTCCGCATGAAAGTGTACTGATTTGCTGTCAGCAAGCTGCAGGTGAGATGTAAGTTCTGCTATCCTTGCCATATAGTGTTTTTTTATCAGGTCTTCACGAGACTCAACATCTGTAGCCTGGCAAAGCAAAAATTTAAGCAGACATATTTATGTTTAGCAGAGTGAATTCTTGCATCACAACACTGTCCTCTATACTGACTTCTCTTCTTCCCTCCTGAGGCCTGGCTGCTCTACCCAAAAGCACTGAACTCCCCAAACACAACAGACAAGTTATAGGAGATCACTCTGCAATTTGTCACTCTGATGGCAACTCTTAATGTCAGACTTCCTTAAAGGACAAAGAGATGACTGAAGATGTAAGAAGTTAGCTTGGTTTACCATATAAAGTCTCTGATGAGGATGAAAGTCCACTGCAGAAGTGGACTGCCTTCACCCACATAAAAACCTATTGGTTTTTCCCAACAAGGAAGAATTCCTTCGCATAACTACATTTCAGAAGCTCACAACAGTAAGAGCTACCTTTAATGTTGCATGTTCCAGAAGTTTTTTTAGACATTTGAACTTAAAAAACCACCACAACTCCCCAGTTCCCTGTACATTACAGAGTAACCCACCAGAGACAGCTTTCACATGACTTCTCATTACCCTCGAGTTCAGCACTATGCAGTAGCTTTTAAGAACTTGTATCAGTTATTATCTGCCCCCCACCCCCTTTTTTAATCATACCTTCAGAAGAAAAGGAAGAGCAAACCAAAATATACATCAGTTCCCTGCAGTATCAGAAAAGGGAAAGCCCTGAATCTTACTCTGCTATGTTCTTGCTGTTGCAAGCGTTATGCTATAGCAGTGCTAAATAAAGAGTTAACATTTAGTCTGACAGCTTGGTCAAAGTTCCTCTCAGTGCGACCTCTCGTTTAGGATAGCCTGTACTTAAGTGTTAAACACCACGCACTACAGTCACTTTTTTTTGCAGCTTGAACCCTTCTTCAAGAGTTAAGATTTGAGGCTTGGAATGCAGTTAGGGTTACTGAAGTACAAGCAAACCAATGCTTTCCTCAAGTTACAGAGAACAGACCTGGAACACAGCTCGCACTGCTTACAAAGCTCACTGCTCAAAGCTCAAACTGCTTACACGAATAAAAGGTAAGTTCACTAAACACAAGAAAATTAAGAAATACGTGGATTTCAGAAACTTGGAACATACAGTATACAGACTACGTGGATGACTCATGCCATTATACAACAGTATTCTTGGTAATTAGACCTTTGGAGTAAGTTTAGCAGAATCAGAATTGAAGTATTTACCAGATGTACTTTGATAATGTTTAAAACAGATTACCTTTTCATTATCAGTAGTTATAGTCAACATTCCAATCTAGAACAAGGAAGAAAATACACTGAAGTGAGAACTGCAAAAATAGATACCCTAGCTGCAAAGTCATTTCGCCTTCAGTCATGGAAAGTCTTAAAATTTTAAAAAAGTCTTGCAACAGTTAAAACTAAAACCAAATCCAAGTACTTCCACCTGTAACATAAACAAGGGCAATAATATACATGAATGCCTTGAACAGAATTAAAGCTGACACCAACTCTCCAAATATATCCTTTGCCTTACAATGCTGCTTTTGTTGCTTTTTCCCTGTGTACAAGATGCAGCTAGCTTCTATGATTATAAAACTGCTTGATTACATGAAACCAATTCAGAGGTACATTAGTACATTGAAACATTACGTTCCGTGTTTAGGAGCAAGGAAAGCCAATTTGGATTTCTTGAGTAGCTTCTGAATTCCTTCCTTTCCACTCTGACTAGCAAATTACATTGACAGTTCAGTGTGAAGCACTGACAGAACTCTAGTGGAGCAGTGTATGCCAATAACTAGTTTCATGGAAGAATATCTTCCTAGAGAATCAGAGGGGTCTTTCCTGATCAACAGGACTAAAGATTTAGGTCTATGGGAAATATTTATACAATATTTTGACTTGAGTTAAATTAAGCATTGTGGCTAGAAAAAGCCATTCTCCTCAAACTCCTAATGGATCAAATAGAGGATCAAAAACTTAAGATGCCAGTTTACTTCAAAATTGGGCATTTCAAAACAATCCACTGGTCTTTTTTATCCTGGAGCAGGAAAGCAGAGAGGAAAAAAAATAAAAATTAAGAATTCTATTGAGTACTGAGCAGACTGATTATTTCTTACAGATGACATCCCTGATGTCCACTTCAGAAGTGGTAATTCAGAGGAAAGGCCAACCCCTTTTAAATACTAGTAATAAACAGGTAACAGCCATGTACCAACACAAAAGAGCAAGGACAGAATGCAACCCATATCCAAAAGCAATTGTTGAACCCAAGTTGTATGCATCTATGAAGGTTATGTAAAAAATAGCACTCCAGAGCACTGAAAGCTTGAATAGCTTCAAGTTAAAATTAAGCTATAGTAAACTGACCTGTAATAAGTCTAACCCCTTTAAAAATACTAATTACCTACCTACTTTTGCTTTAACATACCAAGAGATAAGAAAAGTATTGAAAACTCAGGGCTGACCTGAGATATATACTATTTGCAAGGTTTCCTAACAACAGAGTCAGAAAAATCTAGAAGTTAAAGCACTTATTTCTTCCTCAGTCATGCAAGTACAGAACTACAAATATAGCTCCATGATACTAAAGACAGTGAACAAAGTCTCAAAATCCAAGTTCCAAACTCTGTAGCAAGCAGTTCTGCAAATACAAGAAGCCCAAGTGTGAATGCATTTCAACACAGTCAAAAAGGTTTCATTATTAGTGTTCCACTGATCAAACAGTACTACTAAAGAAAGTAGATTTTTCTCTATTGAAGGAAAAAGGTCACTTACCAGACTAGTACTCTTAATAGGTTCCTTCAGACTCTCTTCCGTGGTTTCCTTCTTTTGTTCAGCTACATTTGGCACAACAGAATGCTCTTGTATAGTTTCAGTTAAATGTCCACTAAGAGAGTGCTTCAGTTTTTGGTTTTCTTTCTCTAGCTTTATTTTAGCTAGCTGGGCCTCCAACATCCAGTGTTCTTTTTCTTGTTCAAGTTTTGCAATTTTCTCTAAACTCTGCTGGACCTTTAGGAGGGAAAGTTTACAGTCCACGTTACTGAACACAAGGGGAAGAAAGCCACACGCACAAGATGTTTGAAGACAGTATTATTTTAAACCATTACAAAAGTGAGTCAATGAATAATGCAGCATGTAAACTACTGATTCGAGCTGTACGCTTGACTGTGGTCATACATCAAAAATGACCACATTATTTAATTAGTCTGAAACATTCATCACAAAGTTATAGATCATTGAAGTGGCATCATCATGTTAGGTAAAAAAATCAAAACAGGGAAGAATTTTATGAAAACTTGAAAGATGTGTGCCTGGCACTAGCATTGTCTTGTTCTATGCTAGGAAGACAATCTCTCCCCTCCCAGCTGCCCCACCTCACACAGACAGAAGAGCCCACTTGTCCAGATAAGAAATCAACTATGGAACAGTACACATCATATCACTCCACACATTTCTGTTCAGATTCATCTCATCCCTACTACTGCACTACAAAAAAACCAAACCCACTGAAGTCTTTTTCTTCTGTAAAAGTTCAATGATGGTGACCCAAGCACAGTCAGCATTCAAGCTAGTAAAGAAGTTTAAGTATTAATCAGTTAGCCTCATTCACATGAAGAGACGGGCAAACTGTATATGCCTTCTAAATACCATCTAATCTCCCTCTGCCTCGCCTTCCAGAAAAAAAATAAAAGATATGCACACTGCAAGAATGATAAACTGTAACCTATTAATAGACTCTAACTGGAAAGAAAAATCATTGTTCTTAACCAGTGCCAATAAATACTTCAGTCCAAAAAAGACCTCAAAACAGTACATAACATTAGAAATTAATACTTCAGTATGCCTTATTCTTGTCTTTATTTTGCATTGACTTGAATTATTAAAGATTGCCTGACTTCTTGTATTCATAAAGGAAGACATCAATGGCATAATCCTGTCTCTTGTAACTACATGTGCATTCTGCAGATACAGGAGAACAAGGCTTGGATAACTCAGCCTAGACAACTTTCAAAACTCTACAAGACACCTACAGTCTAATTTTAAGCTTCAGTATCTGCATACATACGTACAAATGACCACACACATAAATATGTGGCAACTATTTGATACTATATGTATCATGTAAATTAGTAAAATTTATACCAGAATACCTGTTGTGTAAGACCTTCTCTACTTTCTGTGGAACTCAGAAGAACTCTGCGATTGGCTAAAGCCTCTTCATAAGGCACTGAATCTGCACAAGGCTGTAGAAGGATAAAAGAAGCCTCAAAACATGTTTCACAGTAGGTCAGAATATGTAGTCTACATTCATTTTCTTATTGCTGACTTTACTTTAGTAAAGGGAAGAAAAACATCTTCCATGTGTTTACCAGCCAATAGGAAAAATGGTTTGAGCTCAGAAAAAAAAAAATACAGCACCAAAATGCACACCTGATTAAAAAGTGCTCAGAAAACTCCAGGTGTTAACTAATAATCAAATGCATCTTAAGGTCCACTTTATAGACATTGCAGTAAATTCATTTACTAACAACTGTTAAGCACACCATTACTTAATTGTTGATTTTAATGGAGACAACAGGGAGATCTGGCAGCGTTTAGCCCTTTCGTTGAGCACATTTTCTCCAGCATACTTCTTTTTCAGCTTTTTTTTTTTGTCCTGCTGCTCTCCACTGTCTTCCAGTGAATGCAAGCATAAGAATATGATATTATTCATTCCATATTCCTGGTGAATATGGAAGGAAATTTAAATAAGCAGCTACCGTCTTCTCCTTGGAGTCTTGGCACACAAATAATCAGTGGAAATAGGTAATGGCAGAATTGGCACATACTCGCAGTTGTGAAAGCAACTATGCTCTCTAAATTTTTCAATAGCCTTTTTGCTCTAAGAGTTCCATTTCCTCAGCCAAAGATTCTCATTCAGAGAATCTCATCCTTCCAAATTCTGAAAACCCTTAGTTTGTATTCTCTTTGGCATAACCAACTATCAACAGAACCATGCTTTCTCTGTGCAAGCCTGATAGCTGAACAAACCTTCTTCAAAGATTTCATGTAAGCAACCGCCTTTTTCTTGTACTGCAGCATACACTCAGCTGAAAGAGGGCTGATGAACTCTGTTCCTCCTTTAGGGCCATAGCTCAAGGAGGTAGTGAAGTGATCCAAGTTGTTGCTAAAGAACGAGGCAATCTAGACACATCAAGAGAAGTCACTTTTTTAATCAAGTTGACCAGAAAGATTCATCACAGCAATTACTCTTTCAAGAGAGAGGCAAGTATTTAGTGAAACCGGACTTCACAACAAGAATTTCAAACAAGCTACAGGCTCTTCCACACAACTTAGACCTTACTAATGCAAAGCATCCTCTTCACAATATCTACTTTTATCATCCATTCAGTTGTTTTTAACTTGTAGCCTGACAATACGCTAGAACAAACCTGATACTATAGATTATCAATATCAGAGGCACACACAAATTTTCCAAATCATTCAACTAAGATTTTTTTTTTTTTTAAGAAAACCTGCACAAGTTAGGGCATTATATTGAAACAAAAATATCCATTACCTTGCCCACTCCATTTGTTAAAGCCACAACAGAGGATAAAATACAGTCATTTGTAGTTATGAGTTTCTGTGTGGCAGTTGGAACATCTTGTTCTAAAGTAGCTTTCTGACTGTAGTGCTTGGAAATATCTAGAAAAAGAAAAAACACATTTAGTCAAATTACGATTTTTGTCTATTTCAGCAACTATTTTCAAATTCAGCTTACGACATCAGGTTTCAAACACTTTTCCCTTCTTTAAGTTGTATAAAAGTTTAGTCCAGATACTCTTAGTTCTTCAGAATGCTGCCTTAGACAACTGTTTGTGATCATAAGGAAGAGACATTATGCCTGTTACACTTAAATATACACCTTTATTCTGCCTTGTGTACTCTGTATCCCCAGAAATTGTAGCTATATAGGGGATCCAAGCTCACATTGAACTAGCACTTCCCTTCACAAGTATACCTTCCTTTTCAGTATGTTTACATCAGGAAACTCAAAAGTAGAATTTTTAGTCATGTTCAATATCTGAGCGTTAAACTTACATGACTTACAAGGGATGAGTATTTTAATTCTGTCAGAGCAAATCTAAGAGACTAACAGAAGTTTCAAATGCCACTTCCTATGTTCTAAAATTCTCTCAGGTAAAATTAACAGAACAGTCTTCAGAGCGGAAAAAAAAGGACAAAACTTTTTGAAGGTCATTCACAAAAACATCTTAGCTTAAATATACTAATTAATTTAAACAGCACTGACATTTAAAAAGACTTAAGTATTTATCGTGTAAGAACAAACATTGTCAACTTGGCCTAATTAAAGATAAGTAATTACTTGGCAAGTGAACATTTTGCACCTATTTTACGACAAAGTACTATTGCTACAGAATGGAGAAATCCCAACTCATCACCACCAGAAGTTTTAATTTGAGGCAAACTTCAGCAGTTGGGAATTAGTTTGGGCTCAGAAGGAAGGGAGAAGTGACAAATCAAGCATTCTGGAGTATGGGAGTGCGGGATGTTAAGCACAACATTTCTGTTGCTAGCTAATGAATTCTACTAACAGTTTTCTTCAGTACTCAAAGGAAACAAAGAAAATAGAAGTTGGGTTGATTTTACATTATAGTAACTATATTAAGAGGTAGAAGGTATTTATCAATAAACTTATCTATGCTACAAAACTGTTACTTTAGTGTCTCATTTTGTTTGAGGTACAATCTGTAATATAATACTTCTTTTCTTAAAACAGGGACTCTGCAAAATGAGGCCATGCTATTGATGTTATTACTAAAAGAAACAAAAGAAACAATTTTCAAAGCTTAATGTTCAAACAGCTGACTAGTATTAAAACAATTCACCTATACGGATTATTTTGTCCCCGGGAACAGCTATATGGTACAGAAATTCTAGGATATACAGAAACATCAATGTTTTAAAACTCCGAGTTTTAACCAAACATCACTGCATTGAAAATGTAACATATCCATGATGTTCTGTTAAAAGGAAGGTAAGACATTTTCAAGGAGGAAATTAAGTTTTAAAAAGAAAGCAGACTCCTTCGTAAGCTTTGGTTATATACTCATGTTAAAAATAGTAATCAACCTAAAAACAGTAAAGAAAAATTCCACTTTGAAGCAAGTACTAGGTCAACAGTACATAAGCAAGGGAAAATATGTACATTTAATGGCATTCCATTCTGTATGTTAGTTCCACTACAGCAATAAAGTTCAGGAAGTAAAGTGATACTGCTCAGGAAGATCTAGAGCACCACAATTAAATAATCCAGCAACTCAGAACAAAGCTAACAGAACAGAGAGCAAAAAAACACATGCATGCATGTCCAGAACAAGTAGTTAGTAGGTTTAGTTTCGTTTCTTAGTTTGTAAACGCAAAACAAACCAGATTTTTCACATATTACACATTGAACATTGTTAGAGAGTACATGTGTGCTATGTTACACAGAAGGAAGCAGAGCTGAAACATAACAATATTCCTGTATTCTCACCTTTTAAAATGTCATGAAATCCATGAAGACTTGCAGCAATGCTTGTAAACACCACATTGTAATTTGTCCTAAGAAGTCCTTCTGGGTTTGTACCTAAGTGTACCACATAGAAAGGGAAAAAAAACACCCAACACTAAGATTTGACCATGAAAAGACTTAGTTTTGGAAATAATCCAATTTCCACCTACTAGAAACATGTGCATGAGTATAAGAATCATAACAGATTCATTTACTTAAATTTCCCCTTCAATATCAAATGTATATATACCAAATTTTGCCAGAGTAGGCAGGTAAGAGACTTCCAAGTTGCCCAAGTTTCATTCAGATTTTGCAAATATCAACTGTTTTGGTCTCAAAAAGTGATTACGCATCCAGAAAGATTTACATGCTCACTGCTGTAGGAAGGACTATCTGGGTCCTTCTAAAGAGTGAAGACTGAAATAACCTGAAGCTATACAATAACTTTTCTCTTATTATTTACAGTATGCATTTGAAGACAGTTTCCCGACACACATACACACAAAGGTTTTACCCAATTTTTTTTAGTCATTACCATCACAGTTTAATAGTAGTAGTTTAATAATCTTACAAACAGGAGGAGCTGGAAGTGACAATTAAAAATAAGATGTAGTTTATTAACAATTTCATGATGAAGAGATGATAAAAGACATACTGTCAATCATACTATAACAACCTGCAGTCATTTCTTCTCCTCTATGGTTAACTATGACTATCTAAAATGTGGCACACATGACTGCTTGGTAATTTCCAGGCCTGCACCATGCCCCTGTCTATCCAGAAGGAAGAGTGTGGAGCACTAAAGGAGCACTCTACAGCACACTCAGTCTCCCAGCCTGGATAAAACAGGGTCCAGTATAACAGAGCATACTGCAGAACTCACTTGCCACATAGTTTAGACCATACCTAAAGAGCAGCATTCATCTTGTTTTCCTCTATCACAGAAGTGACTTTTTTGTGTATGTATTTATCATTTAAAACAAACAAAACAAAAAAACCCAAACAAACAAAAACCAAAAAACCCCAACACTGTCCAAAAGGAAAACCAGTACCTTCTAGTCGCAATGTAACTGACTGAGCCAAAACTGGCACTTACTTGGTAACGCAAGAAGACTAACGTATGTATGTAGCTTCTCAAAGACTGCAGTCAACCTTTTCATGTCTCTGTGTAGCTCCATATTTCTAGCTCTTAAAGCAGCTGTGCAAAGAGAAGACTCACACTCTTCTTCCAAACTAGGAATATATGAATTATTTTTTTTAAAAGTGAGCAATTAACTTCAAAAACAAGTTTATGAGTTTTGGAGTAGATAACTAGTGTTCTCTACTAGGTTCAAAGCAACAATAGACTAGGAATTTATTTTAGAAAGGTTAACATATCAGAGTTACTTAGCAATACATGAAAATTACTGTGTGCATGTACTATCCCCACTCCTAGGATCTTCAGTCAGAAGCCAGGAACAGTTTACACTCATCGTAAAGAATCAATTGCCTCAGTTTAAAGTCTTTTTCCTCTACTACATATAATTTACCTTTTGCTTCCTAAGGATCAGGAGAGTGGGTATAAAGAAGACATAAACCAAGCTTTTTCTTCTTCCTTAATCCAAAACCTCTTTTTAATCAGCCCTTCACACTAATAATTCACCTCCCCTTCAACCCACTTGGGAACAAAGATTTTCACAGCAGAAGGCACGTGCATCTCCCAAGTTCTACTACATTGCTATATTTACTGCATGATAAATAATCTTCAGACAGGCTCAAGAAATTAACAGTTTCAGTGCATCATACCTGAATAGTATCAATGCTGATATTGAATAACAATTTTGTTATTCAAACAAACAATAAAACATATAAAAAATATAATAAATATAAATAT